TTGTTGTAATTGTTTATTGCACAAAAATATTCAAGTTCATGAACTTTGTTTCAACACATTCAAACTTTTATTTTTGTCATGAACAACACCAACATGGATCACATAATCATTACTGCCATGTCTGACAAAACTGTCATGGATGGCACATCATCGCTATTATGTACAACACCAAAACTGTCATGGGCGGCATCATCACCTTATGCTAAAATATGTTTGGATATTTAAAGTAGTAAAAAAAATTCACTTCCGATCCAGTTATACTATACTATACTATTGTGGGGGACGATACTTTGCGGTTATGGAAATGTAACGAAATACAGTATACAAAAATAACTGCTACACAATCACCAATCACCACAGAAGAACGACTTAATGTAAAACTCAGAATTATTTCACTAACGGAAAACCCGCTGGCAATCCGGAGACTTACAACTGGATATCAACGATATAACACAAGAATGATACAGAATTAGCAGTATGCCCTTGATATACATCGATAAACTCTTGGCCGTGTTAGAAAATTAGTGGGAAAACTTCTAAGTGGATGAATATAAAAATTTAAACAAAAGAGCACACTGCAGTGCATGGTTTCTATGATGTTCGCATTCATGTCGTCGTCTCACTTCAGAATCCATATTTTGCAACAATGTATAAGTCAGAATACAGTATTATTGAACTTGTCTAAAATGTAATGAATAAAGCAATTAACAAATATTGCAAGTTTCAATTACAATACTTCACAGATAAATGATTCAGAAATTACTCCGACATACTGGCCGTCCAAGATGTAACGAGTCAAATTGATACATCATCTATGATTAGAAATTTTTGTCCCATATAAAAGTTATAAAAATTGTAATGTTTATAACACATATACAAAGTACACAGTCTGATTCAGTACTATACCGTCATTGCCATAGTTGAGTTTGGTTACCCTGGCCAACTTCCAGTGTTGACGTTTCTCCACATCATGATGTATGAGTACCACATCTCCTACCTGTATTGTATTGGATTTCATCTCTGAGGATGAGTGTCTCTCTCTCAGTGCAGTTAAGTACTCATTAGACCATCTCTTCCAAAAGTGCATCATCATTCCAGATACACGATCATATTGTTTGTTGACATTGTATGAGGGGTCAACATACTCGGTGGCGACATTATTGTCTGGTAATGAGGTTAATGCTCGTCCATTTAACAGATGTGACGGAGTCAATGGAATATCATCTTTGTTGTCCGAGGAAATGTAAGTTAAAGGGGAACCGCTCAATCCCATGGATTGCACCAAAGAATCATGGGACACTATTGTTTATGTTGTTTACAATGTTAATCTATCTTTTGTTATCCATTGTTATTTTAATCCAGAAAGTAAATTTGTTGTGAGATTAGACTTAACTGGAAGGTGCCCCTTTAAGGGACTGTCATTCAACACAGATTCTATCTGAGTTAAAATTGTGACAAGTTCGTCGTCATTCACATAAGAATTTCCAAGGACTTTCCGGATAGTTGTCCTAGTTAGTCCAAATAATGCGTTCCCAAAATCCGCCGTACCAAGGAATAAATTTCCAGGTTGCACGTTTTTCTGCCAGGTAGTTGTTCACTTCAGGTGAATCCATAAGTGTTTTGATTTGGTCCCTGGCAGCTATGTAGGTTGTGGCACTGTCCAAAATCATAAGACGTGGTAAGGAACGTCTAGCCGTAAAACGCTTGAATGCATTCAAAAACGACTTTATGGTCAGGTTTGGCACAAGTTCCAAATGTACTGCCCGTGTAGCGGCACAGGTAAACAGGCAAGTGTACACTTTGGTATCTCTATTGTCACGTTTGATATGCAAAGCACAGGTGAAATCTACTACAGTCACTTCAAATGGGTTAGACGTTTGTACGCAATATCCAGGAAGTGGAGCGGCAATTGGGTCAGCATATGGTTTCCCCGCGACACGTCGACAAATGACACATTTGTTCGTAGCTTGTTTGACAATCCGACGCATCTTTGGTATCGTTGCATTATTAACGTAACTGTTGTCTGTGTTCCACCATGCATCGAACGGGCATGCTCACTGATTATTATTAAAGAAGTAAAACTGATATGAGTGGGCAGTAGTACTGGAAATTTAGTCCCAAACTTCATGTCAGCATTGTATATCCGTCCTCCACATCTGATAATACAATGTTCATTCAGGAACAAGACAAGTTGTTGACACAGTTGTGGCTTCTTTGTTTGTTTACGTTATGGTGTAAACAACTCAGGAAATGTCTCATGTTGGACGGTTTTGACCCATAATGTCTCTGTATGATTCATCTCTTCTGCTGATATAAATTTGCAATAGTTCAAAGATTTGTCCTTCAAGTGGTTAAATGAATCGTAGTACATAAGCTGTGACTCTATACAATCTATTCACATTACTATAATTGGCTGGATCCATCAATTTCCCTAGACCCATATGCATACAAGTTGTGTCATAGTCAGAGGTCAATGGACTCTTTTTGTCTGATCTAGTTAATGGTTTGTTTACATTGTTAATGGATGTAGTGGTATTTGTATCAAAGTCAGGTATGTTGTTGTTAACTGCTCTATCAATGTCAGAAATAGGTAAAAGTGTGCTTTCAGTATGTGTTACATTGGAATGCATGTTGTATGTGATTTGTGGCCAATCTGCAGTATTTGCCAGAAACCCAGAACCATTCCACCACTTTCTGCTGGACTTCAGCTCTTTCGTTGATATTCCTCTAGTCAGTAGGTCAGCCGGGTTCTGCTTTGTAGGCACGTAACTCTGGTTATCTGGTTAAACTCATTTATCTCCTTGGTTGTTTCGCATGAAAACAGGTTGTGGTTTGAATCAATGTTTTGGCTTCAAATGGTTGTAAACAAATTTGCATAGTCTTGTACCAATCAAGCATGCTTAAAGTTCAAGTCGAGGCAAGGTGATCTCTGTGGTGGGTGATACACGGTTCTTAGAAGCAACTATACCAGTGTTTCCATACATCGGATATATATCACAGCTCCATATGCAGATTTGCTGACATTGGCAAATGAGTGTAGTTGATAAGTTTGCTTGTTTACATCCATGGAGTTTCCACCAAAATAACTTCTATTTATAGTAATGTCAGTCAGTTGATGCAGCTCACTAGCAATACCTTTCCACTTAGTAAGGTAAGTATCATCAAGGGGTGTATCCCATTCAATTTTGGGTCGCCAAATAGGTTGAATAAACAATTTTGCCTGAATGTGAACTGGTGACAGCAAACCAATGGGGTCATAAATGCTGGCTGTGGCACTTACAACATCTCTCTTCGTAAGTAATTGATTCACAGGTGGCATATCTACATGTTTATATGAAAGTATATCAGTCTCAGTATTCAATCTCATTCCCACTTCTACATCTTCAGAATGTTTTTTGTTGCTGGAGGCAATCTCTCTTAGTGTGTTGTCATTGGTTGACCAACTTCTCAAATTGAAACCACCTGACGTCATCATTTCATTTGCATGTGAATAGTAATCAATAGCCTCATTGGTGTTGTTAACACCCGAAATGACATCGTCAACATAAATATTGTTTTGTAAATCCCTGGCAATGGCTGAAGTGTTGTAAGTATCTAAATGAGCTCTTACAATAGCATTAAGAATAAAGGGGGAGGGTGTCGCCCAAAAAGAACAGATTTAAACTGATATGTATCGAATTCACTCTCTGTATCGCTTGAATCTGAGAGCCACAAAAACTTGGTGAATTTCCTCTCCTCAGGTTCTAGTTTCACCTGTAGGAAGGCCTTTTCTATGTCACTAGTGATAGCAAGAGGGTTCGAACAAAATTTAATCAATATGAATGTCAAGTCATTCAACATGGGAGGGCCTTTATCCAGGCGTTTTTTGTTTGGATCCCGACACCCGCGATTTAGCGAGGGGGTCACTGTATAGCTAATGTGTTGCAATACAACAAAATAAAATTAAGAAATTGCAATATATAATATTCCATCAGCGACAAAGATGGGTGTATTTCACGGTTAGTGTTTTTAACGAAAATATTTGTTCACTATTTTATAAAATGGCTTGGTAATTCCCATCACCAATTATATATAATGTCACATCATGTTTGCAACATTTTAACTACCGGTAATCCAAAATCACTATGGTGTACTACGGTTGTCAAGATCGGGAGTGTGTTTTTACGTATGGCGACGTCAACATTATCGATTACCTCACAGTCCCTCAACACTGTGATTACTGAGTACATTAAAGACGCGTTGAAAAGATAACCCATTTTGGGCTAGTGCCATTGTCAAATTTCGGAGAGTAGAGGACTTTTTATACTGGATTTAGTTTATTACAACACTTATAATTCCCCAGAAGGAATTAAAATGGTTACACTAACTGCTAAAACACATATATAAAACTTACAAATTTTACAAAAAATACTATCTAAAGCATGACAATGGTTTAAAAAAATAAACAAAAAAAACCTACAATTAAAGAAAAAACTGTTGATATATGTAGGTAAAAATATTGACAAAAAATAGATGAAGTAATAATAATAAGAAAAATAAGCAATATACAGTAAATCAATGAAACATGGAACAAGACTAAATGAGAAAATAAAGTATTTATGTTAATTTGCCAGAAGATATTTCTGTCTAAGGCTAATGTTATTTTTGATAAATTGGGCAACTGGTATTTGTACATTCAGGTTTGTATCACCCATTAATTTTACAAATTGATTGTAGACGTTCCAGTACAAAGTTGTTCGATTGGCATATCAAAATCCTTTATTTGAATAGGACATGTTCTATATATTCACCGAAATAACAACGTTGCCATGTTTCTAGGCATACAACGAACTTGAAACTTTAAATCGTTTGATCCAAGCAACCTGCGTCCTTGGAAATCAAGTCTTATGGCCATTGTGTTTCCGAGCGAAAAAAACAGCAAAGATTCTTGGGGAACAAATATTAAATGCTGTATTTCACACTGATGTGGGATTAGGTGACAAAAGTCAAAACAAATTTGAGGGAATCCGAAAAGGTAACTTACTGCACGTGAATTTCATGACGAAGTTTTCAACGTTCTGGTCATCCCTGTGCGACTGCAGCCTTTGAAACAAAATTGAGGAACTCTAAAAACGTAATTTATGACATGACAAAAACGAACTATTAGTAATGCAATATCACGACGAATGTTTAGAATATTCGCCCATTCTTTCTATGTTTATTTGGCGATATGAATGATTCAGCCCAGCGCTTAGAAAATTTACTGTGAATGGCTTTCCGAGCGAAACATAACGATCGAGGTCAAAAAAAAAACAAAAACGCCCAATCATCCGTTTTTGGGGTGATATATTAATGATTTGGCGCAGCGGTAACATAGCTTATGTATTACAGGCGCCAGGGAAGCAAAATTTGGGACGTAATTTATTTAGACGACAAGAGGTGAGAGACTACTTACCGCGGCGATAGCTACGTTGACTGCAACCCCGATCATAAACCCCGTGTTTATGCTATGAGAAAGTGCAGATCTTGAACGTAGTGCAAATACATTTTTTGATTGCCTAGCATGTCGAACGCAATTGAATGCGAGTGAATTTCCCCGACTAAAGTTTAAATGTTGTAGTTTAATATGGCGGCAGTAACGAAGGCCAAAAGCATTGTTATGCTAATTTGACTTCTGGTTTAGTTGAATGATTTTTTCGAATTTTCTCTGCGTTCAAGTTAGACACGTGAATTTGAACCAAAATGCTATCGGCAAGACTCAGAATACGACAGTGACAGTCAATGAAACGTAATTGAAGGCAAATAAACACGTCAAGCAAAAATCACTGTTTCCAGTCGCGGCGTAAAATGGAGGCATACCATTGTTGACTCTTGAGGGGTATGGAAATCAGTTGATTTGAGGGTGTCACAATAAGCGACAGGGCAAATCGTTTTTATGCTACGAACAAGTAAAGACCTTGAATGTACTTTTAAGACTTTAGTACAGCGTCATTTTTGTTTGATTACCTAACGTTTTTAGGATCATGTGCTACAAGTTACAGAGCACATACCTAAGCGGTCGCCCCTCAGCAAAAAATGAAGCCAAGGCATTTTCGATGTCGAAATCGCAAAACTCTCCATTTTTACGCGAACTGGGAAGTTTGAATTACTAAACAAAGTACAGGACGGCGAAGATGAAATATCCATGAACCAACACATACCAAAAATTATATCTCAAAAGTGGATATTTATGGTGTATATTTTAAGCCTATCCGGACCATAAGTTGGAATTTGTTAGTACTCTAAATATCCAAACATATTTTAGTATAAGGTAGTAATTATTACTACCTTATACTAAAATACGTTCAAAGTCACTTTCACTTTTCACTTTTTCACGTTCACTTTTTCATAGCATAAAAACGTTTTCACCCTCGCTCATTATGACACCTTCATAAACGAGTAATTTCCATTTCCATCAAGGGTAAACAATGGTTCAGTCCTGTACTTTATGCTAGAACGTGAAACAGTTTTTTATGCTTCACGTGTCTATTTGCTTCAATTACATGTTAGTGGTCGTCACTAGAATCTTGCCGACAACGTGTTGGTCCCAATTTACGCCGAGGAAATTAAAAAAACATTGTTTTTCAAGGCGAAAAAGGTAATTAGCATAACAATGTGTTTGACCTTTGTCGCTATTTTCAATTATCTTTCATTTTTTCCCACGCTACAGTTGGAAAATTCATGTGCATTAAATTGCGTTCGCCATGTTAAGCTATCAAAAAAAGGTATTTGCGCTAAGATACGTTCATGGTCTTTACTTTGTCATAGCAGAATCACGGTTTTCAACCTTTCTTACTGAAAATAAATATGTTTGGGGTCGCAATCACTATAGTCATCTTGGTTATTAGTCCCCGTTCGGACGAAGTCCGAAAGCGGCGACTATTAATTTGGGTTCGTTCCGTCCGTCCGTCCAACCTTACGTACGCCTGCATGGAGCTATATCTCGGACACCCTTTGACGGATTTCATTC